CTCAATTACTTAGGTAACTTTGTTGACTTGTGAGAAATTTGTACCACCTTACTTTAAAACCAATATATTAAGAGTACTAAAGTGACGTACCTACTAGTAATTATGTGATTGTTATAAAATAAGAGGTATACATGAAATGAGCACAATCCACGCATCCGTGTACCAGGTGTATTAATATGATATAATTATAAACGGTCCTCTCACGGGCTTTGAGGCAAATTCACTCTCTCGGCTCATTGAACTAGAGACAGATATTTGCGAGTGAGAAACTTGCCCGTTCGCACAATAAAATTTCAGCGTCGCACGGAGGTGGGCACAACCATAAAGGCCAGTTCACCGTCTCTTAATTAATTTCAACGAAAATTTGCTCATAACGCTTGGGACTTAAATACCTATTTAAGTTCCAAGCGTAATGAGCAAATTGTTACTATCTCAAAGGCTTGTTCTATCATACCGGTTCCAGTCGCCGTTTCAGTTTCAGTCATGACACACGAGAAAGTCTATATAATACAGCCGATCCGTGATCTAAAATCTTTGAAATAAAAATTCATATCCACACCACCTCGATGTCCAGCGTTCCACAACAGCGCGATTTTCAAGGCATTTTCTGCCTCGCACAACCACTCTGTGGAACCAGCTGCCGCCGGCGGTCTTTCCGAACCGTTACGACCTGGGAACCTTCAAGAAGAGAGCGTACTCTTTCCTCAAAGACCGGCAAAGCATTTGTAAGCTCTCGGGTGTTGCAGATGTCCATGGGAGGTGGTGATCACTTACCATCAGGTGAGCCTCCTGCACGTATGCTGCTTTTTTTCCCATAAAAAATCACTGGAATCATTATAACTAAAGCGTTTATTGCTTTGCGACCTCATAAACAAAGTGACAATTATTATAATGCTATTGTAAAAATTGTGTTAGATATGAAAGAAATTTTATACATCCTTGACGGATGTTATTCCATTTTAGTATGCCGCCCAGGCTTACCATTACAAAGAATTGCTTTCTCCCATACTTTATATTCCCTTCAATATGAATCCGTGATCTCCTGCTGGGAAGATGAAAGAATAGCATCAGAGCTCCTTTGTTGAATTTCCCTTTCGCGGAATTACTCGGTAACGACACGAGACGTGAGTCTTGTTGACTGCGCGGTAGTTTTATACATTGACGTCCGCCTGGGTTAAGTTTGTAATGCTGACGGAATGAAGTGTCCGAAATAAGTTGTAGAATTATTACTACACGTGGCATAGTTAAAACGAATCAGATTACGCATCAGATTGGACATGGACAGTAAATATGAAATATTTTTAGACACATTTTATACAACGTTCTAGTCCCAAACGAAGTAACGATTGTACTATGGGTACTAGAAAACTATTCATAACCTTACTATTATTTTGTAAAGAGGTACATATTATACATATTAGACACTGGAAAAACACTATGTTCATCACAAAATATTTTCCTGTAGTGTGATCGAACCCACACCCTCTGGCTCCAGAGGCAGTTTCACTACCCACGCTAATTGGATTGTCAAACTAAAATCAGGGGTTTCCATGAGTTCAAAGCGAGATGACTCCGTGGCGTAGTTGCCAAGGTATTGGCTTCGGAGTCGGGGGTCGTGGGTTCGATTCCCACATGGGACAAGTATTTGTGTGACCCACAGATAATTGTTCCGAATCTTGGTGTTTGTCCGCATGAAACTTATGTTTGTAAAACGTCCTTAGAACACAGGATAATATTATCCTAAAGTACGGGCAAAGTTTCTTTTACAAAGTAAAAAAAAAGCGTCAAACACAAAAGCTGTCCATATTTTATGTCTGCTACACGATGACAGGTTCATCTCTTCTCATGTTTGAAAATAAATAATATGTGTAAAACGGAAATAGCTTGAACTACATATTTTTAAACATTGATTTAATTCACCTGATATCAAAGCACTTAAATTCTAGGATTTCTTAGTACTATAATTTGTTTTAATCAGTTTATTGAGTACCCAGCAACTTTATCGAATATTTTCCGATATTGATACCGCTACTATTATCGCACATAAAAATATTTTAAAGGACTTTTCGGTTTTTTTTTTAGGTTATTAAAAGAACTGAAAATAGAGTAAGATGTTAGTAACACGATCGCAAAGATACATAATCATAAATAATACTATAATTAAAACCCTCTGATACAATATTTTGTGTGTAATAACTATTTTTACGAAAATATTAACGTAGAAAAACTTCTTTACTGGATAAAATAGCAAAAAGCCAAAAGCCAAAAGCCTTTCTAATAACCGCTGTCTGAAATATTTGTGTTTGTGAGTTGATCAATGTTTTATTTAACGCATCGGGATTGCCACATCCGATCCGAGATATCGTATTGGCACTTTGTTCTAATCTCATGATGGATCCGCCGCCCCTCCTTCCGCCGCGTGTTGGCTTACAGTGGTCTATTGACTTATCGGCGCTCTACTGGTACGAAAACTTCATTATCGCTGATATTTAATCCTTGTGTGGCGAATAACGGAGACTCTTGTGTTTTGGATTGCTCATGCTTCTAATGATAATTCTAATCTGCTACATATTTTAAGCCTCACATGGTTAACAGATACCGTCATAAAGAGTAGATCAATTTAAGCTTATAAAAGAAATAGCGAGGATATTTACAATTTCTTGCACCTTTTCACCTTGTAAGAGTAACTCAAAAGAAATATATTGTATAAACTGATGTTTTCATAGTGTAGAACAATTGTAACCAATTTTGCTTGAGTACAAAGAGATAGAGCACGTAGAACACAAAGAATATAAAATTATAATAACGCGCCCTCTGCAATTATTAGCGGAGCGTTATATGTAATTGAAATATTTTAATGAGAATTACTTGAATACAGTTAGTAGAGAGGCGCAGAACGCGTATTCGGTTTAATCGAGCTCCTTACAACATGTAAACGTGCGTGACATGAATAGGTACGAATATGTTATAGTTATATAATTTCTATGTTAAAATATACGGAGCATATTAGAATTCAAAATTTATCTACGCTGTAGATGCTAGTGGTCTATTTTTTGTAAAGCCCGATTGTTGTTATTTATGATGGGATAAAATTCAAGGGTTCAGGGTACACAAGCAATATTTTTATGAATGTTAAAGAGTCTATATTAATCATAATTTGCTATGCTATGTATGTCAATTAAAATAAAAACTTTGCTGACTAATTTAGACTCGGAAATAATGTTTAATTCTAAAATCTAGAATTTCTGACTTTCTTATACTACTATTGTACGCTTTACACTTACTAGGTGTACATGTAAAACGTACAATATTTATTGATTTTATTTTAATTACTGTTAGTCTTATATATGTATATGTACACACTATATAACTTCTTCTTCTTAACAGTCGCTAAGTGTTATTACGTAACAAAAGATGAATACATAGAAAATCTCTTTAAATCGTTGATAAACGCTAACCAGAATAAAACAACCCAAGAAACAAGGAAAACATCTGCTTTCCTTTTTTTTCTTGTTGATGTATAGTACTTTCAAGAGCTAGGAACATCTGCATTGCTGGCTCTTGAAAAAGACAAACCCGTTACCTAGCTAAGCTATCATGGTGCTCCATAAAGATGTGGTGTTTTCCGGTCGAGGTGACTCACTTCATTCATCAAAAGCCCATTTAGTGTAGCAAACACAGTATAAATCATTAGTCCACTCACTATGGCTTGTATGCATCACCTAAGACTTGTCACTCGGCCGGATAATCACGTTAAGTCGAGGCCTCGAAATTATGTTTAAAATTATTTTGTTTCTCATCATTATCAGCAGCAGCAGTCAGTAGACGTCTACTTTTGAACAAAGGCCTCCTCCTTAGAGCCACAACGAATGACACTTTTCCATTTGCATCCACCCGTCGGCGTCTTTTACGACGTTGTCCGCCTAGTAAGTGGATTTTCTTGGTTGTCACTCAAGAACTATTCGAACTATTCTCCATCGGCCATCATTTCTTCGAGAGTTATGGCCTGCCCATCGCTACTTTTTTTCGCAACTACAGAGAGGTATCCCGGTAACTCTACTTGAACTGATTTGTTAAAGAATAATTTTAAAGGTAGAGTAATGAAATGGACTGAAAATAGAGTCCTATATGTGCAGTTCTATTACTACAGGAAACAATCTCCATCCTTTTCAAGGGCAGTGGAGCGTGTCCCACCACGATGTTCTCTTGTGGATTAAGCCTTTAAACTGTACTAGACAGTGACGCTACTTTCCTATATTTCTCCGAGATCGTCAGTTAGTACTTACAATTATTATTTTGTATTTTCATTGATGTAGTTTAAACTCTTTTTGATATATTTAGTGCCAGTCTACTATTTTACATCGGTTTATGTTAACCTATTTAATTAAATAAATAAGAACATTTTACTTAAATACAGCTATAATTAACTTAAATACATTAATAGCTAGTTTAAATGACTTATTTCATTATAAATCAGTTTGATAATTCTCTGAATGTGCATAAAGAAATGTTATTTAATCTCAAAGTTCACTCTTTTATTTCTATAACCTAAGGAACAGGTGTCGACTCAAGTAAATGCAGTTTCCTGAAGCAATGTTCAATGCTGAAACTAATTTTCGAACGCATAGATGCAAGTGAATTCCGTTTTAGTGCCGACGACTTAACGTCCTATTTGCACTGATACTTAATTTTTCTCGCAAAAGATTCCCTTAAAATTGACGGCCGATTATATTACAAACGTTATTCAAAGTTTTAGTTTAAAGTAATTTCATATTTTACATGAACTTATTTCAATTTCTTTTTTTTTTTTACCACATGACCTAACTAAAACCTTATACCATATTTTTATTTTCTCCATAGATTAAATTATTCTTTTTCTTAATAATTTTAAAAATTTTGTTTATTTTATTACTTACTTGTATTTTATGCTGTCCTTAACTACCACAGCACTTCACTCAATGTGTTAAACGAGTAGTACACAAATATTAAACTCACTGTTAGGCGTGCATATCCTTGTTTTTTTCTATCCAGATAAACGTACCGAGGATAAGTTTAACAATCACGAACACCGGGCTCAGATCCTTCACAATCACTCTCACTTTGTTTATATCGCCTTTACCGCACGTTCCGCTGCGATCGGCTCCCTCGACGAGCTGTGCGGAGGTACGTCCGCCGCGACGGTCCGCCAGCCACTGCCGGCTGCGCACGCCTGGGCCCGGCCGACCCCCACCCCTTGCTTGGGACGTTGCAATTCGGCATAAAAAAAAATCACATCAGAATAAAACCTTTCCCTGCCACTGAGCTTCAATGGCTCAGCTAAAGTCTCAAGTCCCCGTTATTAGTTAACGCCGTAGCGGCCTCCTAATGACGCTGTTACGTTGAGTTATGCCGGGATCGTGTAGCGGTTACGGCGTAGCAATCGCTACGCCGCTCTACGTCAAATGCTAATTTATAAGGTTTTTCCGAATCAAACGCCTATGTAAATTATTTTCGTAAAGGTAGTCTGAGAGAAATTTTATCTTCAGCCTCCGCACATTCGAACATCAAACGCGACGAGTTCAAAGAGAACTTTTTCTTGCACGTTCATATATTATTTCTTTCCACTCGACGTTTATTTAACTTTCTTGTAGTTACCGCTCCACTTCTGATCTTTATAATACGCCATTTATATTTTCAGGTACGTTCTTGTCTTCTTTATTACTCTGTACTTATATTTCGCATTTTTTTTTATCCATCATTGAAACTAGTTTTTTTCAATTATTCTTTATGTTCCCGAATGTAGATTAAGATACCCGACAAATATTGCTTAGTTATGACATTCATATTGACTATTAAAAATTTTAGTATATTTATTCTACTAAAAATGAAATGAATAAAAATTAAAAATCAAGTTCTTAGAAACATCTCTTTTTGTCGGCGTGGTCTCTCCATATGATTTCAGTTTTAGAGATGTTATCTGCGAGATTCTTGGCTCTGCCAGGCTGCGTAATTTTATCATAAACAAAATTGTGGCTGTCTCCGTGGCTAGAACCCACAATGGTAATGACAAATGTCATTTCTAAAGTTAGTTTTAATGACAAAAATTAATTGATGAATGATGAACCTATGATGCTACGTATTGATTTTGTTGTTATATGTATGCATTAAAATAAATAAATAGCGATGAAATCTGTAAACTTACAGTATACACAATACTAGGAAGGACTACAAATCACAGGAAAAATTTCAAGAAATGTGAAGACTTGTGGCATAGCTACTTATTAATTCAAACATTTACTTTTGACTAAAAACCTCAATAATTAAAAAAATCACAGCAGTTACCGCTTTAAACCTTTCTTTGGTCAACAGAGACGGATCCAAGTTAGACAAAGCCTTCTAAGTCACAAACACACTTTACGGGAACCCATACAGGGAACTAGTTTTATCATACCTCATTTAAGTGTGTGTTTAATACACATATAGTAATATATTAATATGATACGATTTCCGAGGGTTCATTTGACGTGGTTTCGAAGCGATACTCTATAACGCTACAGGCAGTAGTACCTTTGGTTTACGAGAACTAAATATCTTTACACCATCTAACAAATTTTAACAAATTATTCAAAATAGTCTCTTTTACTACATTAAGCAAACTCACAAAAATGTTATACTTCGTTACCCTTCTTTTATCAATTCAAAGTAAATATCTGTAACTTCTTTTCTTAATTGCTTTCTTATTTCTTTGATAAATTTCAAATAAGCATGTAACTTCGTAGCAAACTCGTAGCTTCATCGTAACCCCATAGTACTTATGAGCGGTGAGCTCACAAAGACCGCTGCAGCGGTGCACCGTTTCAAAGAAAACCATCAAAACACTAATATTTCAACCCGAGAGCGCAACTTCTCTTATCTTCGATTCCTACTTTCGGCGACTTAGGCTCTATTCGACATTGACTACTATTGTTTATATGTTAGGGTTCCTTGTACAACGACCATTGAATTGTTTCATTCACGATTCTTTCGAGGCAATGAAATTTGAACATTGCCAATGGCGAGATAAAACTCAAATTGGTGCGTTCGTTATCAACCAATTCTCACCTACACTATTCGGTATCGGCTCTTTTCGCACGCCTTTGTTCCTAATGTTCATTACGTATTCTCTCTACTGTTATTGAGGGTAGATATAAATTTTATAGGTTTTATTGTGAGGTCGCATCTATTGTGCGCGGATTTGCTTCGGAGCCGATCGCGTTAGGAATTGCCGCTCGATTAAATGCTTTCCTGTGTTTACGCTTGTATGACGCCTCCTTTTATTATCAATGAATATTAACGTTTGACGAATCTTATATTTTAGTAGCGTCACTCTGTAGTGCTCGAACTCGAAATCCTTTTTACTGATGTTTTGTAAACTATAACGAGAAATTTTGATAGTATGGTAGGTCTGCATATAACCCCGCGGAGTACATTAATACTTTGTTTATTTTTATTTCCTAATATATAATGCTGGAAAATAAATGAAAAAGAAACGATATTTGTTGCAATTCCTGTTGAAGATAATAAGCTTTTACAATGGTTTGTTTGGTTTTGCATAGTGCACAAATATACTTGTAAAAAAAAGTAAAAGTAAAGTAACAGCCTATAAAACGTCCCACTGTTGGGCAAAGGCCTCCCCTGTAAAGAGGGTATCAGGGCATAGTCCACCACGTGACCCCACTGCGGATTTGGCGGACTTCACATATTTCCGAATATAATGCAGGTTTTCTCACGATGTTTTCCTTCATCGCCGAGCACGTGATAATTGAACACTTAAATTAACAATTTAACAGGCACCTGCAAATGTATGGTGATGCAGATGATTATTTATCACTCGGTGGATCAATTTATACTTTCTCTAATATGAGAAAATAAATTATGAAGTGGATTTTATAACTATATTCCAGTGAATCCATTTCGACAGTTATTACGGCTGAATTCAAAATGTCATCAATAATCAAAATTGGAAGTGACGCGCGCAAAGTGATTTACTGTCAAAATTGTTCTAGAGAGGTACAACAAAAGGCTGATTTTTATATGTTTCTTTGAAGCTTTATTTCTTTAGATTTTTTATCTACTTTACCTGTACCTATGTAAATCACTTGATAATAAAATGTTTATCTACTTTATCATCTGAATAATTTGATATTAAACACAGATAAAGAACTGTCTACGAGAGAAAAACTTTAAGATTGTGAAATTTATTCTTTTGCTTATTTCATAAGATAGGCTATTTCTTTTTAATGAAATAATTAAGAGTTCGCTCGGGATTTAACAGATCATTCTTCTTGAAAACTTTGGTGTTTACCAGTGATAAACGGAGTTGTACGCTTTAGTAAGGATACTTAAAACTTGTATGAATTATATAGTATGAGGTAGTGGAATCACGATCCTAACTTCCATAAACGGGAACAAACGTTTTCAAAAATATTTAAAAAAGTCTGTGTTCAGGCAAAATCTATTTATATAAGAAAAAGCATAATAAATTCAAACAATATAACTAAAGCCACATGGGACAACATTACCCGTATATCTGGAAGAACCAAGATATTCACGGAACCTATAAAACTAGTTATAGGTAAAGTAAAGTAAAGTAACAGCCTATACATGTCCCACTGCTGGGCAAAGGCCTCCTCTATACAGAGGGTATCAGGGCATAGTCCACCACGCGGCCCCACCCGGCTGGCGATTGGCGGACTTCACATATTTTCGAAATATATATTTTTTTTTGTTATTATTTCGAAAATATGCAGGTTTCCTCACGATGTTTTCCTTCACCGCGGAGCACGTGATAAGTCAGCACTTAAAGTTAAAAACTTCATTGGTGCCGGCACCGGGGATCGAACTCAGGTTGCTCGAGTATATTGAATTAAAGGCGAGCGCCCGGACACTGAGCTATCACGGCTCCAGGCGGTAGTTATAGGTAATACTCCCATAAAATCAGATAACGAAATTGCGAGTAGTTTCGAAAGCTATTTTTCAGAAATTGCGGTTAATGTCACATCTACATTACAATCATCTCCCGCTGACGGAATTAATGTATTAAGAAATAATGTTACCTATTGTCTACACACATTTAAATATCATCACGTAGATACTTATGATATTATAAAAGTTTTGAATTCTATTAATCTTAAAAATATAGAGGATTTATGTGGCATGTCCATAAAATTAATGAGCACAATAATGCCATATATTGCACCACATTTGGCTTCTATTTTTAACAACTGCATAGATTCAATTTATCCACAATTTATCTCCACGCCACGGGTCAACTGGGAGAGAATGCCTAAAGGCATTAAGTTCGCCCTTTGTAATCCTTGATTAAGGTAATTGCAATAAAGTATAAATAAATAAATAAATAAATAAGTATAGATTCTGGAATATTTCCAGATCTTATGAAATTTAGTAAGATAATACCTATCTACAAAAGTGGTGATAAAAATGATCCAGGCAACTATAGACCTATTTTCATATTGCTCACATATCTCTAAGTAAAGTTTTTGAAAAGCTAATTTTAAATCAACTTTTAGTTCATTTTAATGTGAACAAAATCTTTCACGATGAGCAATATGGATTCACTAAAGGCAGATCGAAAACAGATGCGGGCGTAACACAAGGTGCAATAGGTGTCTTTTGTGACCTTTCAAAAGCCTTCGACTGCGTAGACCATAAAACTCTCCTTCAAAAGCTAGAATATTATGGCATTCGTGGCATCGCCCTCAATCTCATTGCCTCTTACCTTAGTAATAGAATTCAAAAAGTATCTATAAATGATGTTAATTTTGCTTGGTCCCCGATGAAAATGGGTGTCCCACAAGTATCAATCTTGGGCCCATTATTATTTTTAGTATATATTAATGATCTCCCCTTTTATGCCAGTAGGTTGTGTGATGTTGTACTGTTTGCTGACAATAAATCGCTACTTTTTAAAGTTGATCGAAACGTATTAAATTATGACGACGTAAATAGTGCACTTTCACATATCCTCCACTGGTTTACTAAAAATAATTGTTATTAGATGCCAAAAAAACTAGATATATTCTTTTTACCCTTCCCAGTATAAGAAGGAAAAGTTTTACATTGTTATTTAGCATTTGAAGCAATGCTTGGCGCATCTATTGTTATATCCTTTCCAGCATACAAACAATTTCGAATATCGTTTTACAACTAATTCAACGATAGATGTCGCCACTGGTTTTTATAAATTTTAAAAAGGCGTAAGATTGTGTGGCTATCAGCCGTTTAGCTCAGTGGCTAGATGGCCGCGAATGCCGAAGACGTGGGTTCGATTCCCACAGCGGCGAAAATCTTTTCGTACTTTTTCTTTTTTAATGTTCAATCTTAAGTGCAGAGATTAGCACTATAAAAACTTTAAAATTTAGGAAAAGTTTTAGTTTAATATTAAATAACGTACCCTTTAATCCAGTTGAGTCTGCTGTATTTCTGGTAATTACAGTAGATTCAAAGCTCCAGTGGAGTCCCCATATATCATCTCTCTTAGTGCATCAGATATGAATTCTATATCTATTCTTCAAAAAAGAACTGTCCGAGCAATCTCCAATATCAGAACCCTGAATTCACTCAGAGATCTTTTCAAAGAGGTATATTAACTCACTGTTACTTCTCAATACATTTATTGTAATATTCTGTATATACGTCATAACCTTAGTTATTACCTAAATAATAGTGATAGACATAAAATAAACACTAGAAATAAGGATAAACTTACTACGCCATTGTTTCGTCTACAAAAAGTAAATAGGTCGTTCATGGGGTAAGTGTGCGCATGTATAATAAAATCCCACAGTCGATATTAAGTCTGCCGCTTGACCAATTTAAATGTAAAATTAAAAATCAACTTATGATTAAAGCATATTATACCATTTCGGAATATCTCGATGACGCCAATGTGTGGAGTTAATACTGTTGATACTCACGTAGGCTAGAATAAGACTATTATACCTGTATATTATATTGTACCCTGATATTTTTGAAAAAAAGCAACTGTTGAGTTTCTTGCCGGTCTCTTCTCAACAGAAACTACTTTACGAACCTATGTACATAATCTTTGACGATTCATAAGAGCGCGCAAGCATCTATTTGAATAAATATGTTTTCGATTTTTGATTTTGATTTTGATAATAAGGATATATTATTTCAAAAATATATTGAAAATTTTGTTTTTACCCGAATCATTTTGTATATATGTGTATGATACTTCCCTAAACCACGCCTTCGCGAAACTTTACAAAGCTGCGCAAGCCCAAGAAATAAAGCAAGTTCCCAGAAAATACGTTTGAAATAAGAATGCGATTCATACTAGAAAATATTTTCACTTTGTGTTCTATAAACAAGACAATATTTATTAAAATCACGAGAAAAATTTAAACATATCCTCGTATTTTATTAGCACTCATGTAACAGTAGCTGATGCACACGAATATTCGTTAAAACGACCCAAGACAAGCGCGCAGGAATTTTTTTAACATTACGTATATCTCAGAGAACTATAAGTAGGTTCGATGAAATCGGCGTTCATCGATTTATTTACACTTGCACGAGCAATAGGGGTGTGAAATAAAAATAAAATGAACAATTTACTTTCAATCCTGCTCGCATATGGATAATGCGATAAAAGCGAATGGCCTCACCCCTTGTCCCGTTATTGTGGGGCAACATTCGTATCGAGCCATTCCCAGATACATCGCTCGGGTTCGCTTTCGTTTCGCTAGGACTTATGAAGGAAGAGAATATCAATGACATAGAATCTTAAATTAAATCCAGCTCAAAAAAGTACACAAAAGCTATTAAATTCGTTTTTTAAAGAGGAACGATATTTCGTTTCAATCTAGAGAACAAGTAGGGCTGTATCTGTATAACCATTTATATTCATTTTTCTAAATTTTAGCAAGTTATTAACAAGGTATCTTACGAAAGTAGTAAATAGTAATACGTGGCATCCGTTTAAATAGTGATTTGACAAAGATTTGAACGTACAAAAAAGGAATTAGTAAATAGTTAAAAACCCCTGAACGAACCTATTGGCGTAGTGAGTAGTGAACCAACCTCGCTCCAGAGGGTGTGGGTTCGATCCTCACTACTGGAAAACATTGC